TCATGACTAATAACACCTGTGAGTCATACGGAAATCTACAAAAAAAAGTGGGCGAAGAAGAAAAAGAAGAATCCAGATTTTGGAAGAAAAGAAAAAACAAAAAGGATTCGAAAGTGAAGTTTCGGAGAGTTATGTTTTTGATAAAACCCACATATGGAGCTTCTGTACATGGAATACATCATTTTTCAAATCAAATTCAAGAGGCGTTATTAAAGAAGGGCACAGGAGATTTTTGGGAGTTTTGGTATGCATTCTGACGTGATGGTGTACAATGCTACATCGGGAGGCCGTTTTAGCTTCGCTCGCGTGGTTCAGTCGGTAGCGGCGCCGCACTTTTCATACTCGCCCCACAAGTTCAACTCCTCGAGGAGCTTATATAAATGGAATTTTGAGAAAAAAATGTTTCATGTCTCCCCTCTTTTTAATTCTATATCAACAAACTTGTTCCATCTAATCAAATTGGAAGCTCTCCATACGCTTGTACTTTCGATTGAATGACCATGATTAGTGACCACTGATAACCTACTTGTTGTTCTCCTTTGTGAACGAACTATCTCAAAGGTTCTATGGCTTTGAAGTGGTCCACAAAACTGATATGAAGAACGGTTCGGAGCAAGTAAACAAGTGTAACTAATGCATGCAACCATGATAACCGAATCAACTGGGAGATCATAATTAGTTGGAGGGAAGAGGCGAAATATAAGATCGGGAACATGTGATAGTTGGAACAATAGAAATTTTGAAAGTAGGAAATGTGAAAGGAAACAATCTGGAGAATTCTGGAGGATTTTGATTTTGATTCAGGTTCTCAAAACGTTTTAGAACAATCGAAAATTCTAAGATCCGTTTTCGAGGAAAAATACATGCTTGGAGACGGGCCATGCCATGGTTCCTTTTAGAATCAATATTTCTTTATCAACTGAATTAAATATGATAGAACTCGACGAGTACTACAAAATGATACTATTTGGAAAACGGTATCTTGTCTATGAACAAAGTTAGAAGTCATAAAGTGACTGAGTCATGCCGTACGGCACGTGCCAGGCCCTGGCGATTTTTTCGGCCCGTTTTGTCTGTAACTTTGTTCCTAAACAAGGTAATTTTTTCAATTAATATCATTTTGTAGTACTCGTCAAGTTCTATCATATCTGCTTTTCTTAACCAAAAATATCAATCTTATAAGAAATAATGGTACTGCCCGTTTTCATGTCTGAAAAACTGCACTTCCAGAGCGTAGAAAAAAAATAAAATGAACTTGAAAACTACAACTGATATACTTATAGTTTAAACTCTCAAGTTGAATCCATTTCCGGTTCATTTCCCGAATCTCGCACTATTAGTTCTCTGATAATATCTTGATTCTCTTCCCCCAATATTAGCTAATCGGTTGCCACTGACAAATGTGACACCTTATAATTATCTATGTCCTCTCTCTTCTTCCAACTTTCACATTATTACCTAATTCCGATATCCGCAATACATATCCATTTCTTAGTTCAGATACGAGAGTACTATATAGTACTCTTTTTGATTGTTCTGATGATGACTAGTATATATTCTATATAGAAAAAAGAGAAAGAGGTGGTGACACCGGAAATGGTGCTATTATGATGAGTGAGAAGAATGGAATGGATGGGTTTTGTATACAATATATCGTATATAAAAAGAGAAGAAAAAACGGGGGAGGGACTTGAAGTGTTCGGGGGATGTGGTTTAAAAAAAGGTTGAAGTTTTGGAAATAAGGGAAAGTACAGTAATCCTTGCCCTCATTTGCTTCAAAACTTCAGCTACAGTAATCTTCAATTACCCATTCGATCCTCATAATGGCTCATATTCTTTTTTTTTGCTCCGCTCCTCCCAGTTCCATTTTCTATCTCATCATCCATCTGGTTTTCTGTCTTTTTCGAAAATAAATGAGCTTTCGCAAGAAGAAGAAGAAGCCCAAAACGACTCTGCCAAATGCCATCTCGAGTCAAGAAGGCCAAGAAGGCGCTTGTCATATTTCACAGTGAAAAATTCTGTCGTTCCGGTTGGGAAAGAGCACCCCATAAATTCTAAGAAAGTGACCCTCTCTCTCTCTCTTTTCTCTTGTAAAAGAACGAGAAGAAGGGCTCGTTGAGCACCACTTAATTGATGTATTTTCTGTTGGAGTCAGTTGAAAAAAATGAAGAAAGAATGGAGGAAAAAGGAGAGTGAACGAACCATTGTTTTGCAAGGGAATTGGAGTTTTTTTTGGAGAAGGGAATAAAAGGGACTAAAATGGAAACATGAAATTGAGTTCACAAGACCAAGATGTTTTGAAAAATGAGGTTCTGAAAGTTCAATGTTTGTTGAATCTCGGGTTAGATGCAAATTTTTTAGCCATAACCTTTCTATCAACAAGTCAATAAGATATACGAAAATGTTTTTTTTCAGTTAATTTTCGGCCGTTTTTAAAATTAACCAGAGTCTGGAGCTCGGTTGTCAAATTCCCGATCACTTTGAAAATTTTGGAGGTCGTAAAACAGAACTAAATTGAACACTTTGCATTCACGGAGTTTCTTTCGAAAATTACTACTTTTTCATCTTTTTTCCGATTTCTGAAAGACAGGGCCATAAATGGGAGTATCTCAGAAATGGACGAGTAGCTAAAAACTTAGGAATTTTCAAAAATTTTTGTGAATGCAAAGTTTTCAATCTAGGTCAATTTTACACTCTCCAAACTTTTCAAAGTGATCGGAAACTTGAATATTCATTTATTTTTATTTTTACTTTTTTATGTTGTTCTACAATTGGCCTACACTGTAGTTTAATACCATTCAGAATATTCCCAAAACAATTTCATAATCCCATTTTGTCACTATTGAATCTTGTCAATTTCACGACGAATCGAGCCACTCCAGAATCGCTGTCCGCCATTTGTTTTCGAGTCTCTGGGTTCAAAAACATTGCGAAATCACAAAATGAATGCATGTATGGCAGGGCGAAATTAAAATGAGCTGTTGATACGAAAAAGCGAGCGCACAAAATGGAATGGAATGGAAATGAGAATGAAAATGAAGAAGAAACAGAGGAGAGGAAATGGGATTAGTTGGGAAAACCCAATGGAAATGACCGAAAGTCGAAAACTGAGAACAATTTTGCACCGAGCAAAGGATGGAGGGTCATTCAAGTTGAAGATGGAACACTGTTGGAAAAAAATCTGTAAGGTTAATTTGGATTCAAATGAAAAAAAAAACTCGCATTGTCTCACTCACTCTCTCTCTCTCTCTCTCTCTCTCTCTCTCTCTTTCTATAGGTCTGGATTACGAGTATCACCCTTCTAAGCTGAAAAGGAAGAGTGATTTATACCAGCCTCTGTTGGTGTATCTGACTCTTTCTGGACATACCTGAACCGCGTTAACAATATCTTTCCATCCTATTTCTCCATTAAAACCTTCGAATAATTTGTTTTCTTTCCGGAAAGAAAACAACAAGAATTGTTTTTTTTTACCAAGCCAAAAAAATTAAATTTCAGACTTTCAGAGTTTTATCTTGTTTTGCAATGGCTGTCAATAGAACGCAGATAAATGATAGCTTATGAATAAATTTTTTGTTGTTTTTGCGGTGAGACAATTGTACATAAAGTACGTTGTCTTGCCAATGTGGTTTTTTCATCTCTGATTTGAAACAGATCTTTTGATATTATCATTACTGGAAAAGAAAAATGAGCTTGGGAAAAAAAATAATTAAATAAAATTGAAAAAGAATAAACGAGAAGAAATGTGAAATAAAAACATTGGAATGACTAGCGTCCTCGGCCTACGGCCGACTCCTCTTGGCGCGGCTTTGCCGCGCAATAAGGTGGAATCAGATGCAGGACCTTCGGCCCTGGCTCTGTGGACTCAGTTAATTGAAAGGTTCAGTCTGTTCTCCCTTCGCTCGCTCCGAACGCTCAGGACGAACAGACCGGACAGGGTCTTCGGCCCTGTAACTTTACAAGTTGGAAATTTAGGGGAATCAGTTACAGGGCTTGCTGCCCTAGCTCAGCGCTCTGTCAGGATAAGTTTTAAAACGTTTGGATTTTATGTATTAGCTATCAGAGATATCAGCAACACTAAAAAAATAACAAAACTTTAGTGAGAAGATGTTCCAGGAGAAGATGTTCCAGAGATCCAATTTTTACAACTTGTCTCCAATTTTTCCCCAATTTTTTGCGGCTTCTCAGCTATACCTCAGGAACCATCGTACCTGGAAAGAATCTAAAAGCAAAAAATGAAATTAGGGATCTTCCTTTCTGGGAATTCAAAAAATCAAACCAGTGGCTCTCGCGTACCAAGAGGCGGATGCTGGACACTTGGAATTTCGAACATTTCACTCAAAACTTAATAACTTTTCAATTTTTGAGTAAAACAAGTCTAATTTTTTCTCAATATAGCTATCAAAATTGTGCATTGATTGGTCGTGGCGGATTTTTCATTTAGGCCCTAGTCCGGTATAAAAAACCGGAAAACCGAAAAAAATGGATCCACTTGTACGTTTTGCATCATATCTTGGTTCAAAAGTACCACTTCTGACGATTCTTAGCAATCTTATAGCCATAGAGATTTTCTATCGATTAAAAAAAGAGTAAGCCAAAACGGACCGGAATCGACCTAGTTACGATTCTTCAAAAACATTTCTACAAAATTTCTACAAACTTTCTACAAAATTCTACAAAATTCTACAAAATTCTACAATCTTTCTACAAAATTTCAACAAACGATTCTTCAAAAAAATTTCTACACGAGGAAGGCGGACCTTTTGAAAAAAAGTGAAGAGCGAAGCGAGGAACCAGTGATGAAATATATGCAATTTAACCTATAGGTTAAATTGCTCCGAAGGCGCACTAGCCTGCTGTTTTGGAGTGCCTGAAGCGCGACAAACAGGCTGGTTAAAACTAATAAACGCATAATCTATGTAGAATCCAAAAGTTCTAACATTTCCTTTAAAATATTTTTTGATATATCACCGATTTACTCGTGAACTTTTCGAAATAATGCATGACTGGTGTTCTGGATGCCGTACACCGGACTTCGTCATCAGTCATGGAAGCCTACGAACGTAAACGGGGCAGGTATGTCTGGTTACATGTATCTCCACGAAAATCCTTGGAACTCCCTGATTTCATCATTATTCCTGATCCATGTTTTCAGTGCATCTCCGACTCCATTAATTCGAATGGCAAATCCACAGACTCCACCACCAGGAGGAGGTGACTACGGGAGGTTCCAATATATGATACCATAACATCTGAATGTTCCAATTTCAGTGATGGAACACATAGACATACTGATCGTCTGATTGACAAATTCATGAAAAGAAAAATAGAAAATGCACCTCCTGAAACCCATCATCTAGTTAGAAAGCAGTCAGTATTTAACTTTGTCAAACGAGAAGAGAAAGAAAAACCCAAACAAACAACTTTCAAAAAGATCCGGAAAAAAATTCGAAGTGAGATTAAGTTTTCGGAAATTAAAATTCTCAACCTGAACAAATTGTAGAATTCAATACTATCATCGCATTTATTATTTTGGTAGCCTACATATGTGGAGGAGCTGCACTTTTTTGGCAAATCGAATCAAATTCTGATAAGAAAGTAGGCGTTTTGGATTTGAAAATGTTCAGAATTTCCGTTTCCAGCTTGATGATTACCACAAAAATGTTCTTCAGAAATCAAAGGAATTGTACAAAGCACTACCACCAAATCAATGTGGACCGTTGAAACCGGTTAGATTTTTTCAATTGTTCAATTTTAAATGAAGAGTTTCAGAACCACAATGAAATAAATAATAAATGTCTCAAACTGATTTATGAATCCTTGTATAATTTGAATCCTCCAAGGTATATAAATACGTATCTTGATGGATTGGCTTATGTGCTAACTTGCATTACCACTATAGGTAAAAATAAGATCCACTAACGAAAACTACCGGAACCTAAAAAAATATTATTACTCCCCGATTTTTTTTTTTCAGAAAAGTAACGGAAAACTGGACGAAAAACAATGAAACACGAGAAAAAATCCTTGAAATAAAACATTTCAGGTTACGGTAGTTTTCGTTCTGGGACTTTATGCTTTATAAATTGAAATAATAATAAAAAAATTCCATTTTAGGATACGGTCAATTGGTGTGTCGCACAATAGTAGGCAAAATGGTTACTGTAGTGTACGGTATTATCGGAATTGCCCTAACTATTTACGTTCTTCGTCACAATGGAAAAGTAGCTTTGAGAGTTTGTAACTGGGCTCTTGGCTTAGTTGCTAGTTGTTGGAGAGTATGGTATGTTCTTAAGATGTTAAGATCTGAAATTTAAATGATTTATTCATTTCGAGCTTTCAGTGGAAATAAAAAGGTGAAATTTCGAATGACGGTCACAAAATCATTTATCCTTCTTTTCACATTCTGGACGCTCGGTTCTCTCGGAATCGCTAGTTACGAGAAATTTGTGTTTTGGGATGCCATCTACTTTTCATTCAGCACGTTTTCAACAGTTGGATTTGGAGATTTAGTACCGACTAGTCATATTTCTGGTGTCATTATTTTTGCATTACATTTCATAGACCTTTGTCTTCTTTCGATGGTATTTGTACTTGTTCATGTAAGTTCTCAAATTAGATTCAATTGATATATCACGCCATCGCGGTTGGGAACCTGAAAAACGCGCGCTTTGTCGCACACAAAAATTGGCTGCGTGCCAGATTCGAAAATTTTGGAACGTGTTTTGAAAAAAACGTGAAGTTGAACGTTGTTGAGTCGCTACTCACCGAAAAGCCGCGACGCGACCGCGCTACGCGTCTAAACTTGGCGCGCTTTCAATTTTTAAATCTAGGTTCCCTTCCGCGAGGCCGTGATATATCCCATCGAAATTCAGCAAACAATGGAAAACAGTTTCATGAAAGTTCTCGAACTTCTTGATGAAGGATACAGGAAACATACAACTGAACTGAACACAGGAACAATGAATTTACAATCTCCTGGCGCTTCGAAACGACTTCAGATGTCGACGGCTAGAGAAACAAAATGAAGAATAATTTAGTTGATTCGAAACTGATTTAACTGATTGAATTTTAAAACATCTCTTTGCTCAATGGAATTTTAGATATTATTTTCAATAGTCTTGCTCTTGAATGAACTGTTTGATAAAGATTTAATACAGTAATCTTTTAAAAGTACAACTGTGATTACTATAGGGAAAAATATTTGAAAATAAAAGGGTTACTGTAGGGAAAAAATAATAGAAAATGAAATGGATTACTGTAGGTAATAGTTATCTATGGCGCGATTTCTGACCAAGCCTCTTGGAACCCTGTGCATGCCGACATAGATTTTGGAAAATAGTTTAAACGTGAATAAGCGACAGCCAGTCTAGCCTCCGTATTTTGGAGGCTAGACTTGTCTGTTTTTTACTCCATTATCACATATTGAGAATTTATTGACAAGAAGTATGAATCTAGTCAATTGGATAATCTTCCTACATCTACTTGTTCTTCAAATCGAGTGTCTCTTCTTGAAAAACGAGCAAGATGTTCTTCAAGAACTATTTGAGAAAGGAGACAATGGAACAAAGTTCGAAATGATTTTGAAGAAAATTCTAGATGGTAAAAACTCCGTTCAAAAACTTTTCTTTCTAACTATTCTAGGCGATACAACATGTCTCGGCTCTCTTGTCAATATCGGCCAAACAGCTCTCAAATCGTTTTCGAACCACACCGAAACGTTTGGTTCCAATTTTGAGTATAATTGGGCAGTCCGTTTGATTGATGCTCTTCCCACTAAACCACCTGGATTAGGCAGAAAAGGACCATTTTTCTTCATTGGAGATTTTGAAACATGCAGAGAATTGTGGTCAAGTGAGAAGCATGTACAATATTGTACGGTTAAAGGAGTTGTCAATTTTCAAAATGAATTATCTCCAGTGACAGCTGGTAAGAAGATATATGAGGAACTACACAGAATGGTTACTTAATTTTTAGGTGTATGCGTGCCATCAGAATGCAAAGAGCATCATATCGAAAAACTTTTCATATTCACCAAAAAGAAGTTTTTAAATGGGAAAATGGAGAATATATCGATTCATTGTTCAGATGGAAAAGACGAAACTTGGAAGAGCAAGAAAGTAATAGATTATCTGTTATTTACAGTTACAAATCTAAATTTCAGACTTTTGTTCTCTTTGCCGTTTTCTTCATGATCGCACTTCTTACAGTCGGAACTCTCATAGAAAAGATGGATCGAGAAGGATTGATTAAAAAGAGTGGAACTAAAATGAGAAGAATTGTTCATAGAAGTTAGTGATTATTTCAATTTGGAATCAAGCCAATTTTTCAATTTAGAAAAATTTCGAGTAAACTCCTCCTTGACTGGTTCCATGAGCGATGGTAGATCAGCTGGCGGAAAGCAATCATCAGGAGATGAGAATGAATCGACTGCCAACCTATCTGTGAATCGACCATATGCTCCATCAATCGCTCTCACCTACCGTAATCTCTCCTCAATTCATCTCTCCAATTCTCAACTTATCAATATTCTCTCTTCCTTCTCAATCCGCTCCAGTCTCAACTACTTATTCCGAAATTCGACTCGAGATGTGAAACTGGTCAACATGTTCCGTGTATGCAGCTCTTTCTGGGTCATTTTTTCCCATACTTGTCTGTTTTCATTGAATTTCACGGATACGGTTAGAAGTGTTGCCAGAAAAGGAGAAAACGTGGTTGGATGGAGAAATTTCATGTTGAATTCGTCATTGGCAGTTGATACGTTCTTATTCTTATCTGGATGTGTAGCCACTTACTCCATCAGAAAGAGGCTGATGTTTAGGTTTGTTGTGTTTTAGGGTTTTTAATATTGAGTTTCTGCTTCAGAGGGTCGGATTCGACGTTTCCACTTATCAAGTGCCTCTCTCTATTTTTCCATCGCTGTCTTCGTCTCCTTCCTGCTTTTTCCCTTTATCTACTTTTCATATCCACTGTTTATAATCATTTATCCGATGGACCATTTTGGAATTCCCAAGGTTATCTCTAGTCCTGATTTCCATATCTTTCTGTCTTTTTAGGAATGTTTGGAACCGAATGCTCAGCATCTTCTCTTTGGCCTCATTTTGCCTTCCTCGCCAACTTCTTCCCGTCGCATTGTGTTCCATGGCTCTGGTATATTTCTCTTGATTTCCAGCTCTACTTGGTTATCCATCTTTCCCGCTTTTTTTTCTAAACTCTTTTTCCAGACGATCCCAATCATCATCTATTTTATCTCCAAATTCCGTCTTGGTTGGTTGTTGGTGGTGGTGTTATGCATTTTGTCCCTCACCTACCGTACTCTTATGTACTCCATTTTCACGTAATTTCTTCTAATTCTGCTTATTAGAACATCAAAAATTCAGATTACCAGCCAACATGTTTGTGGATATGTTATCGGGAAACTTTGGAAAGGCAGAATTGTCTTTCAAATTACTCTACACTTCTCCACTATCCAGATATCCGCCATTCCTAATCGGTATAGCACTTGTGTATATTCTGAAGATCATCTCGAAATTTCAGGAATTCTAACTGGATGGTATACCTGTCAGATCAGATATCTTGGAACTCTTCGATCTATAACTGCAATCGGACTGAAAATTCTCGCGGTTTTGCTTCTCGTAATTGCTCTGTTTGGTCCATTCTTCTCATGGAACTGGCTAGTTTATACTCACTCTGTCACTAATCGAATGATTTGGGCGATCGGTTTGGCGATTATAGTAGTATTGGCTCAGAATGGATACAATTTTGGAATATTCAAAGTTTTTGGTGGGCACGCACTAGTGGTTTTGTCAAGGTGAACAATCGAAAACTTAAATATTTTTAATTTTGAAACTTTCAGACTCTCGTTGGGAGTTTATCTCTCTCATGAACCCATTCTTCTCTTCTATCTAAACTCTCTTCGTCAGCCAATGTCACCGAACACTTTTGGATATTTCATGTTTATCACAATAGCAATATATGCCATGTCCTTGGTTTCTGCGTTTTTCATTGCAATTACAATCGGTTAAATTTTCTTTTAATATTCTCTCCAACAGATTTTTTCAGAAGTCCCATTGCTCATACTCGAAAGAAAACTATTTATGACAACAAGAAAAATGAATGAAGATGACTTGAAAGATCGAATGGAAAGACACGTGTCATTTGGAGAGACTGAAATTGAGATGATTGAAGAAAAAGACGACGAAGAATCAGATGATGAAATGGATCCAGAGGAGAAAACGAGACAATGGCTTGAAACTGGAAAATTATGTGCTCAACGAAGCGATTTGGATGTGATTGAACGGCAAATAAAAGAGGAAGAAAGTGCTGTGAATAGTTCAACTTCGTGTTGATTGAGTTTTTTGATTTGGAAATAAATTAAATAAATTATGCCAGATTTTACTTTTCTTGATGCGCAATTTCAGTTTTCCGCTCTTAAGATTTTCGAATTCTAACTTCATATTCTGGTTCACTTACTGTTCGTCTTGTTTCTTCTTGGTTCAATATATGTCGAATTTTACAAATTTCACTTCTTTAGAATATAATCGTCCCATCCATTAAAAATTGTAACTTCCCAGAATCGTTCTTTCAAAAAAAAAAAGAAAAAATCTCGAAATTTCCAAAATTTTATCGGATTTTCTCAATTTTCTCTCTCAAAAAGGCTGCAAAAAATCTTCAGTAAAATTTCACCTGAAACCAAACCCAAACGCCTTCAAGTCGCAATTCTCAGCATCAATAAATGAGGATTATTGCAGTTTTTCCGATAATTTTGAATATTCCAGCTTCTTCTCAAATTTATCTCTGACACATTATTTGCGGCGAACATTGAAACTTAAAAACATATTCATCAATTGAAATTAAATTATGCTTTCTTAAATTTGTTGGCAAACGAGGCTCCGAGATTTCACATGCGCCTTGTTTAGCGAAGTCAGATGGTCTCGCAGCGACAGTCTTTGGCGAAACAGTGTTCCTCGCACGTTCCATCAAAACCCTTCACTTTCGTGCGTTTCGCCGAAACAAATTGCTGAGCAGTAGCACGCCTGCGCTCACTCAGCCGCCGTTCAGCCGCCAATCGTCCGTTCAGGGTTGTAGAGAGGTTTCTGATGAAAATTTGAAAAACGTATTATTCTTGTCAGAGAAAAAAAAGGT